CCCAGTTTCTTAACTCACACCATCTGAATTGCAATTTTCAGCCTGCTCAGACTGTGTCAGAGGTTTGCAGTCTTCTCATAGAGCAGGTCAGATGGAGAGCTCTGGGCTGTAGTGGAGAAGGAGTTTCTTAATGCATGGAACAGACTATGATATAAATAAAAGTGTATTTCCAGTAAAACCACACTTTTCATATCAGCAATGGGCCTGTTGCTGGAGACCTCTTACGCAGTAGGGATCTTTGTGATGTACAGCTCCACACAGGGTGAATTTTTCTTAAAAGCATATCCTTTTAGGGTGCAAGCAGAGAAGAGTACAGACTTACGAATACAGGATACTCTGGTGTGAAAATTCATCCCTTTGCAGTTGTCTCTGCATTTTGGAGGTTTTCCTACCCTGGAGCAGCCGTGGAGGTGCAGCTCCAGCACAGCATCCCCACTGAGAGCTTGACAGTGGCACACCAGTCAGTCCCTTCTGGTTCCGGCCAGCTTGTGGCAAGGCGTGGTGGTGGCATGTATTCATTGCTCCAGCCAGAGATGGAGCTGTAGAAAAGCAAATCATTGAGATTAATCTATAGCTAAACTGAAAAAAAGAAAATCCAACATAAAAAGATGACACCAAAAGAAAATGAAAATCACCTTTATGTTGCTCTTTTTCTGAGTCCTGTAGAAAGTGAATTAATTCACTAAGCACCATACTATTAAGATTGCCAAAATGTACTGGACCCACCCAGAGTACACTTCAGACTCTGGCCTGATAAAACAGAGGCTGTATTGTCCTTTCTGCACATCACTGATACTGAGCAGTTCAGGAGCAGAGGGATGTGCTGGAAGCCTGTCCTTGATTAGTGCCATTAGCAAGGTGCCCCCCTTAGCTTTTAATAGCACACCAGGATGAAACTAAAACAAGTTCAGGCTTCACAGTGCAGCAGTCAAAATGATGATTGCCCCTGTAGGAAGCTGGATGCCCTTAAGAGAGCTTTTTTGTTATCTCTGACTTCCTGTATGAAAAAGACCGAGCTTACAGATGCAATATTTTGAAAAGAAAACTCCTTCCTTGCATGTGAATAAATTGGTTTGTTAAGAAACTGTGGGTGTTTTCTACCTGCCTCTCTAATAGAAGAGCCTGTTTGGAAGAAAATGAACTTTTCATTTATTGTAAGTTTGGTTTGGGTTGTTTGGTGTCTGCGTATTTTTAGTTTGTTTTTTATTTTTCCTTTTTTTTTTTAAGTTCAGCAGTCAAAAGATTAAGATGAGATTGAGAACTCAAATCCAGTCTCTGGCCTCCTCCTTCAACAGGAAGTGTATTCTGACTAAATCAAGCCACCCCGTTCTATGTGCACTGTTCTGCCTTTATTAAGTTGCTTTGCAGCCCTAGCCTCATGGCTGTGCCACTGAAGTGTGTTTCCCCTGGAGTGACATGAAAGTTTGAGGCTTGACTAAGGAAAAAAAAAAGGCAGTGAAGGAGACTGTACATAAAGACATGGCAAAAATATTAATTATAGCAATATAGTTGTGGGGTGATGTTCAGGTGGGCAGCTCCATTGAGAATATGTGAATGAATTTGTGAAGCTGCAAGTAGCGAGAAGAAAGTAGGATCTTATGAATGAACCGCCTACCTTGTAGACAGTAATTTGTACACTGTATAGTTTTGTTAAGATTTTTTTTTTTAATTAAAATACCCTTGTTTGTAAAGCTAACTTTGTAACAATTATAATGGAAATGCGTGTAATTTCCATTTTTAAAGTAAACAAGAATATTCCTTGTTTGGAAACTGGACTTGGGTTAAAACTCTCCAGTTTCTTAATTTATGTAGTAAAAAAAAATTCTGTCCATGTTAGGAGTTATTTCGCAGATTCCTGTGCTTGAAAAGCATAGGTTACTAATCCTTTAAAAATGTAAATGGAGAAAAGTTATATTTTATGAAGGTTATTTTGTTGTATTTAGTATTGGAAAAGTTGGTTTTCAGAACATTTCAAAATGTTGGAAGCACCACTGTCTTTTTATTAGTATATATGGCCTTTAGCAAAAGTTTTTGTGATTGTTACATGATGGTATTTAAGATTAGGTTCACAGAGCAATTCAGGATAGGCAGAGAACTAAAACAGTACTTATGTCTCACATAGCTGTGTCCTCAGGGAGCAGAATTTTGGATTTGCAACTTGTAGCTTCATAAGGACTTAATGAAAGAGATTGCACAAAGACATACTCAGCTTGACACCGGAGTGTGTTCTGTATCTAAATCTAAATTATATTTACTGTGTGAGGTTATGAAGGCTGCAGAAAGTTATCCCATATTCAGTGTACAGTATTCACCTTTAATGAAACAACTCTCTAATGTTGCTGGCAGTAAGGCCCCAAGCATGACATCCAATATAGTTTACATGATCCTGTCAAGGTCTTTTGTTAACATTAACCAGCTGCATGCTCCTGGACATTTTTATTGGGTTTCTATAGAAAACTTCAGAAAAAAAAAGAGAGTAAAATCATATGTGGGCTAATCAAGTTAAACAGGAAAAGCTCAAAGTTGAATGTTCTACACCATGCTGAAGGAGCTGAAAACTGCCTCCTTCTTATTTGCACTTTCTGCTAGTTCCCCAGTTTTTTCCAATTCCTCAAAATTGTGTGGGTGTGGTGGAGCACTGCAGTTGGAGGATAACATGGACCACTGATTTTGCCCTTTAACCCTGCACAATGACCTTTGCATCAGCCAAACATTGCCATGACAACTCTGTACTGTTTCCATGCCACAGCTCTGTTGGTCACATTGTTAATAGTAAAGGGGACAAGTTGGAGACGGTCAATTTTTACATTTTTTGTTGCAATTTTTTCTTCAATGGTTGTAAGTAGTTTTGGTTTTTTTTTTTGTTTTGGTTTTTTTTTTTTTTTTAATGATAAAAGGGTTCACTAGTTATTACTCTTTAGAAATATCTGTGTGTTGCAATTCAAATGTATGTTGAATTTGTGAAAAGGGCTTCAGTGCCACTAGCATCATAATATCCTAGAATAAGCCTTTGATACTTTTATTGCATGATATGGTAACAGTAAAACAAAAGGTGGTCTAAATAAATGGAGAGCAGTGTGAGCTAGTGACACTAAAGCCAGTCTTTGTATTACTGTATTTTTGACAGAATGGTTTTGAAAACTGTGCTACAGGGACTGATGTGGCAAATGTATCTCTATATGCAGAAGGAAGTTTTTTAAGAAGTATGGCTTATTATGCATTATTCATTGAGGGCATTGAAGTTGCATGGACTGATAAAAGTTGATGCAAAATGAGAAAGAAACAAAAACCAGCAAAATGTTTACCAAAAAACTCAAACAAATGAGCAGTGCCTGTTCAATTTCACAGTCTCTGTTGAGTTCAGTTGTAAATATGTTTCAGATAACATTTTCTTCAAAAAAAAAAAAA